AAAAATGAGATGGCGGAAACGTTCGCTAAAATAGAGATGTCTGAAAAGTGAGATGGGGACTTTACGCAATGATTTGGGTCGGGCACTAACTCGAGTTGAAGAAGTAGAGGGGAGAGTGGAGGCATTCACGCAATTAATCAATAAAATAGAAACACAAATGGAAGTGATGCGTACAGAGAAAGCTATCATTTAAAGCGGAAGATCAGGAGAATTGCAATAGAAGAAATACCTTAAGGATCAGGGGTCTACCAGAAGAAAAAAAAAACAGGAAGAGGATCTACGGGAGAAATTAAAGAGTTTGTAATCCAATAATGGGAAGATCAGCGACAGAAAAGTTAAAATTGAGAGAGTACATAGGATTAGATGGCCAAAAGGAATACCGGTGGAAAGCCTGAGAGAGAGAGAATATGGAAATGATTACGTGACTCTACCAAAATAAAATATGAGGAAACAAACTCATATTTTTGAGGTCCATTGCTCCAGAGACACTGGCTAGAACAACTTTGAAACCGTTGTTGGAGCACGAGAGAGGAAAAAAGTTTGATATAACTGGGGCTTTCCAGCATGTTTATTCGGATGGAAAATCGGCAAGGCTGAGGTTCCCAGAAGATCTCAATGACTTCTGCGAGAAATTAGACTTGCAGAAAATAGACCTTGAAGGATGGTCAGAGGGGCTTGGAGAGAGTGGAAGGCAGGGGGATTAGGAAAATGGCAGCAGGTATCTAAGAAGAAGAAATAGGGGGGGGGTGTGGGGGGCTTGGGGGTGAGGGTTGGAGAGAGATCCCCCCCCTTTTTTTTCTCTCTCTCTCTTTCTCCTTTCCCCCCGGCCCCCGGCCACATCATGATTCCCTTGCCCCTGGAGGGGCACTGAGATTTTTTGAGCTCAATGAGACTGAGGAGGTGTCAGTGGCCAAAATCTAGGAGGAACATAAAGCACATATCGGAGGAATATTGATTTCAATGGGAGCAGAAAAAAAAAGAAAGAACAAGGGGAAAAAAAATAAAGACAGTGATGGAGGAGTTCTACAGGTTAGAACAGTCACACAAAAAGAAGATAGGTATAGACATATATCAGAAGAGAAGTATTAAAAGAGAAGACTTAAAAGATCCTTTGGAACCGGAGTCGAGAAGGATATTCAACAGGGTCTCAAAAGAAAGATATCAGTGGGGGAATAGACCTGGAAAATACCTGATATGGAAACTAAAGGAAAAGAAATCCAAAAACTTTATAGAAAAAAATAAAGATGACAAAGGATAAATGGTGTACGCCACCACTGATATTGCTAATAGGTTCCAAAAATATTATAGCCAGCTATACAATGTGAGCCCCAGAAACCAAAAGAAACAGAGGAGGAAAAGAAGAAAAATAGACAGAAATATTTAAATAAAGTGGAGTTGCCAAGAATAGTAGAAGAAAAATTAGAGGCCCTAGAGAGACCTATTGCCCTGGAGGAAATCACCTTGACTCTAAAAAATACGGCCAAAGGAAAGAGCCCTGGCCCGGATGGATATACTGTGGGTTATTATAAAAAATGTAGAGATCTCCTAGTCCCTAAAATGTGTGGTTATATGAATGCAATAGGGGAGGGGCTGGAAATGAGGGATGAGTCATTGCAGGCACATATAACGGTTATACTTAAAGAAGGGAAAGATAGCACACAGTGTGCCAGCTACATGCCCATATCCCTACTGAACATTGACACCAAATTGTAAGCTAAGGTATTGGCAACCAGGCTGAAGGAGTTGATGCTGGAGTGGATACACCTGGATCAAGCAGGATTCATTCCGGGAAGAGAAGGTAGGGACAATGGTCTGAGATCATTGCTCCTCCTACAAAGAGTAAAAAGAGAGAATCTGACGACATTATTCCTGTCAATTGATGCCAAAAAGGCTTTTGACAGGGTTAACTTGGGTTTCATGATTGATACGCTAGAGGTCTTAGGAATAGGGCCTAAAATGTTAAAGTGAATAAAAGGGCTTTATAGTGCTCCGCCAGCGGCGGTTAAGGTTAACAGATCCCTCTCCCAGTTCTTTAAAATGAGTAACGGAACCAAACAAGGATGCCAACTTTCTCCTTTATTTGTTTTATCCCTGGAACCTGTGCTGGCGAGGGTAAGACAGTGTGTAGACATAGCAGGAATAAAGATAGGGGAAGTGGAGCATAAGGTGGCAGCAAACGCAGATGACATGTTGTTCTATATTGTAAATCCTAGAAAAACGTTGCCTAATTTAATGAGACTATTAAAACAATATGGTGAGCTATCAAATCTGAAAATAAACCCTGCAAACTCAGAGATCTTAAACATCAATATACCAAAAGCTGAGAAGCTTAGTCTACAAAAAGACTTTCCATTTACTTGGAGGGAAAAGGAAATAGGCTACTTGGGAATAAAAGTTACTCCTTCAATAAAAGCCCTGTACCAAGAAAATTCCATTCCATTAGTAAACAAAATAAAGGAGGAGCTGGGGAGATTGTCAAAAGGTGGTGCTTCCTGGATAGGTCGCATAAACCTGATAAAGATGGTGACAGTACCAAAAATCCTGTATAAGTTTCACATGCTCCCAGTACATCTACCAGGATCTTTCTTCGGGATAATAAAGAAGATGATACTTAAGTTTATCTGGCAAAATAAGAAACTGAGAATTAGGTATGAGGTACTGTGTAGGGCAAAAGAGAATGAGGGTTTGAGTATGCCAAATGTTAAGAAATATTATCAAGCGGTGATATTATCATGAATAGACTGGATATTTAATTCACAAGGGAAAGGTTGGGTGAATATGGAAGGGATCCTGAGTAAGGCAAAGTTAGGGAAGATGGTTTGGGTACCACATAAAACTTTCTTTTCAGTGGACTAATATTCACATCTAATGTGCGGAATTTAAGTGTGTTTGGGATAAATTTGTAAGCAAAAGGGATGGAAATATAATTCAGTTATGATTCCCTTGGTGGTAACAGAATATTTCCCCCCAGGGAAGGATAATATTTCTGGAAATGCATTAAAGATCAGAATGCACGTTTGAAAGATATACTGAATAAGGGGAACTTGCACACTTTTTCTGGCTTATAGAAAAAAAAATAATAATAATTATTTTTCACATTAAACGAGTTATGGTATGGCCAATTAGGTCATTTTATTTCAATGCTCCCATAACCACTGAGGACGTCAGAGGATCTGTACCCATTTGAAAAACTGCTGAATGTAACTATAGTTCCAAAACAAAGCACCTCCAGGATTTATAAGATTCTTATGGATATGGAAGGTACGGATCCTCCTGAGTTTTTGGAAAAATGGGAACAGAAGACTGGAACAAAGCTGAATGAGCAATAAAAGAATAAAATATTCAAATTAACACATGAGGTGATGAATATGAGCACACAGTTGAAATAATTAGAAATGTTTGGCTAGGTGGTGTATTACACCGAGTAAGGCACATAAACAACAAATAGATGTTTCACCCTTATGTTGGAGAGGATAAGGAAACAATGGTACACATATGGTGGGACTGTCCGAAAATACAGGATTACTGGAAGGGAATATTACAATATATTCAGGAAATATGTGAGATTACTGTACAGAGAGACCTGTGGACATGTTTATTTTATAAATTTGAACCTTTAGTAAAACTACATAAGAACAGGGTACTAGATCATCTAATCCGTGAGGCTAAGAGCTTGATTCCCACATTCTGGCTTGCCCCAGACCCACCAATAATAAATGATTGGGGTAACAGAGTGTAAAATATCTACAGGATGGAGGAGTTGTGTCATATTGAGAAGGAGAGAATAGAAAAATTTAGGAAAATGTGGAGTAGCTGGTTAATTTTCAAAACATCTAAAATATATCTGGAACTGGTGGAACTATACGTGGAAGAGTATCAGAGGGAGTTTTAATGGAATATCTGACAGAGAGAGGGAGATGGGAGGGAAGGGATACAGATATAGATAGATAATCAAGAGAAAGGATAGAAACTAGGATTTCGGTATGGACTGGGGAAAGTAGAATGGGGGAGGGTGGGAGGAAGGGAGTGGGAGGGGATACGATGATGCAAATGGAATTTATGTATTGGTGAAGTTATTTTTATGTGTATTAGATGTGTTTTTTGTATTGGAAAAAATTAATTAATATATATAATATATATATAGATATAAAAAGAAAAAAAAAATAAAGAAATCAGCAGAGCTTCCCCTTGGATCTAAAGCAACTGCACTTGCAGTGCACGTGAAGTGCACAGCCTATTTACCTTTAGTAAATTAACCCCTCTGTGTGTCTCTTGCGACAAGTTTCCTGTAAAGAGTAAGTGCACCTCTGTGTTAAAAATAGAATAGCTCAGCTGTGCTGCTCATACCTGGATCATTTAGTACAAAAATCTCTAAAATTATCATTTCTGCACAGCACATTCCTTCAAGTAAAAAACTGCCAGAGAAGAGAGACAGATGGCAATGTAATCGCTTATGTATAAAGAACCCCAAAGAGGACCTGTACTGAGACAAATATACGCTGCCACTCACTGAGGATTTCCCCTTTCAAAATTCAGTGGAGTGGAAGTGGAGGAAGTTGTACTAATCAAAAGCATCAAAGCATCAATCTCTCTTCAATCAGTGACCCAAAAAAGCATGCAGATCAGGTGTTCTAACAGCATACTCATTCAGATCATCGACAAATTAAAGCTTTACAATCACTTTAATAAAGTGGTTGTAAACCCAAAAACCAAATCAATCTAATCCTACAGTTGAAAAGATTTTACCTTTACTATGTATTTGAGCTTAGTTTGGTATCTTGAAGCAATCCCCTTCTCCAGAAATGGCCAACCCCCCTGCTCTTCTAAACAGAATAAATCCGACACAAGCAGAAAAATGGTGTAGCCAGTGGCTCTGAGGCTATTTATTTCAGTATAAGTATCTTTTCTTCCAGTAGGTATCAAAGAAAATCCAACTACACATGAAGACATCATAGAAACTTCTTGCTGTGTCTTAGTAGAGAACTTAAAGTGTTACTAAACCCAGGACCCTGCACTCACTATATCTGGTCTCCCCGGACCCTGCATTCACTATATCTGGTCTCCCCGGACCCTGCACTCACTATATCTGGTCTCCCCGGACCCTGCATTCTCTATATCTGGTCTCCCCGGACCCTGCATTCTCTATATCCGGTCTCCCAGGACCCTGCATTCACTATATCTGGTCTCCCCGGACCCTGCACTCACTATATCTGATCGCCCACAGTACACACAACAACATAGAAATGCAATTAAGTTAATATAAACTGCTAAAATACCTTTTCTCATCAGCAGTTAAAGCAGTCTTGTGACTCCTATTAGTGTCCAGCTAAGCACTGATTAAAGCTTGTAGGAGGCGTTTTAATTCTGCTCTGATGTCCTATTGGCTCTGTGCTGATCACCTGCACCTTCCCAAAGAAAAAAAAACTAACAATATACACTAAAGTGAGCATGTGCAGCTTGCCCCCAAGGCTCTGTACTATCAGCAGATGGATGGGGACAGTAAAAGAAGGGGAGGATCAGAGATGAAGGGTCAAACAGTCTTTTTACACAATGCGGAAGATTAACCTTTTAGGTTCCACAGTGTGTATAACAAGCATGCTTTACTACATTCTATTGTAAAGTGCTGAGCAAACTGTTGGCGCTATATAAATCCTGTATAATAATATAATATTAATATACAGACTGATTTTACTGTTGTGGGTTTAGTAACACTTTAAACAAACATCTAACTTCTGTGTCTTTTAATCCCTGCAATAAACTAAGATAGAAGCTTGTATATCCAAAAGATCCAACACCTAAACACAAGCGAAGTAACCTGGTATAAGCAGTACAGTGTAGTGAATGAAAAAATGAATGAAAAAAACCCTCTACATTGGGGATACAAAACACTTTCTCAACTATCGTAAAAAAACAACAATTTAAGGCAAATTCTAGAGGTCAAGGCTCATCAGTTTTTCTACACTTTAAAGAAAAGGGACGTTCTTTTAAGGACAATCAGCTAAAGTTTGGACAGAAGACAACCAGTTTGCAAGAGGCATGAAAGAAGCCATCTACTTCAAATTGGAACAACCTTACCTGAGCTGGGTGGGGGCCTTCAACACCATCCAGCTAACAAAAATAATGCCATTGCAACTACCCCGTTGATTTGAAAATTCATACTTTCAGACACGCAGAAAGCAGAATTAACAACTATGCAGCTATTGTGACTTCAATCATGGGATTCTACAGTATAACTAGAACATTGTACAACTTTTACACCTCCCATCTTATTAAATCCAGGACACTGAATTCACTAGATCTGGTCTCCCACAGTACACAAAATATGGAAGTCCAATTATTTTAGTAAATATAAAAACTGCTAAATACCTTTTCTCATCAGCAGTTAGAGCAGTCATGTGACTTCTATCAGTGTCCAGCAGAACACATGTTAAAGCTTGTAGGAGGAGTTTTCTGTCTGCTCTAGGTAGATGTAGAACCCCTGACCTCTGTCTGGACAGTGCTGATTGGCCCTGTGCTGATCACAAGCACTCTCTCAAAGAAAAAAAAAACCTCTCACACAAAACACACAAAATTGTGCATATGCAGAGTGTCCCCATGTCTTATCAGGAGATATGAGGGAGACACTGGAAGAATGGAAGGATCAGAGAGGTCAGGATCAAACAGCATTTTTACACAATGCAGAGGATTAACCCCTTAGGTTCCACAGTGAGCATAACAAGCATGCTTTACTGCATATACAGACTGATTTCACTGTTGTGGGTTTAGTAACACTAAGTCCCAGGCCCAGGTTCCACATATCCCATTACCTCGGTGGATCACTCCACAGCCTTCCCTGTCTTGAACGCTGCAGAGAATCACATCATTCCTTGCAGCATTCATCTGTGCACTCAGGCAGCGGGTTTGAATGATGAGCCCCTAAGGAATGGGTCCCTGACACCATGGGCTCACAGGAATTGGGAAAGTGGAAGACAGCCAGTGCTGTACCCTGGGAATGGCAAATCAGCAGGAGAAAGCACTGGAGAGAAAGTATTTCAATTAGAAATGTTTTTCTTGTTTTTTTTTTTTTTTTTTTTAAAAAGTGACTTGGCTGTATTTTTAAAGGCTTAATTTTCCATTTGCAAAAAATGTAGTAACTGCAGCAACACTGATCTCATGAACAAAGTGCATTTATTCATTTTTTGCAACAAAGCCTGCAGAGCAATCCCCTGATCAGTGCATACCGGGTGCAATGCACAAGCTCCTGCAATGTTCCCCTTTAGCTTTAGACCCTGCTGGAGGAAGTGTGTCATTGAAGTACAGAGTGGTGAGAGTGATGAGGAATTGCTGGTATGCTCTGTGTAGACCCTCTGCCGTGGTGGCAGATGGGACATGTTGTCATTCAGTAAAAGTGATCCCAAACCTGGATAATGTGGCCATGCAGGCAGAGCCACATATGGCTTTGCTAAATTCAAATGAAAATAGAATGCGGCTTATACACGCACCCCATGATTCAATTAAAAGGAAGAGGGAGCAGTTTAGGTTTTGGGGATGGTATGTGAACATGCTTCCTGTTACACCCTGAATTCAGGCGTAACAGTCTAAAAAGTGAAGTTCGCTTTTAAAAAGGTTAAGATAGAATGGGGCTTTAATCTCCTAGATCGTAAACTCCAAGGAGCAGGGTCCTCCTATCCCTCTTGTATTGAACTGTATTGTCTCCCTTTATATTGTAAAGTGCTGAGCAAACTGTTGGTGCTATATAAATCCTGTATAATAATAATAATAATACAGGAACCTCAGTGCCATAGGGCAAGAGTGCTAACCACTTGGTCACTAGCATATATGTGGTATGAACAAGCATGTTTATGCAACCAATGGCAAAAAGCTAAGCAGCAGGCCTATGAATGCACAAGTAGCCACACTACACAATGTCTACGACCAGAGTTAATGTACTTCCACTACTTAAATTCGCAGCCAGAGCTTCAATTTACACTGATAAACGTCTTGTTTAATTGACCTTGACTCAAGTGACCTCATCCGGCTGTGCAGAAGGCCCTAAAAGCCTTGGTTGTTGCGAGTACCATGCACTTGCCATTAAATAATTATTATTTGTGCCGCTATTGTAGAGCTGAACAAGGCTCTGGATTTTCAGGCGTTGAGAGCTTGCTGGCGTTTTAATCTACAGAGTTCACTCTGAAAGATGGCACCCTTCATCTTTTGCCTTGAAAAGAAGCTGCTCCATGCAGACACAAGGAAGAATGAAATGTCACTCAATAACCAGTGCACAGCTTAAAAGCCCATTTACATCTAGACTTGTGGGTTCTGGTAGGTTCAAGGGAGAAAGTAGTCTTCAGATGTATAGACCTCCTACCTAGCCATTGAATTAATGCAGTTACACTATAGAAGACAGAAGCATGGATATGAAATCTCGGTCAATACAGCATTTGCAGAGTTAAGTGCTCTAATGTCAATTCATGTTCTACCTAAACCAAAACGGTGACTTTATTCTCGCAAGACGTGCGGGACAAGGTAACAAAGGAGGAAGCTGCAGTATTATCAGATGTAAAGCCTGGCTGTAATTTTCATATCCGAAATTAAAAGAAAAGCTGCTCAATCAATCTTCCAGACCTTCTATTAAGCAGCCTCATGGAAGGACTTTTCCTTTTTGAAACAACCTACTCCTCAATTAATCAGAAGCAAGTAATGAGAATTTGTTTGACATTTTTTGCAAGAATTGCATGTATTTAGGCCTGTGCTTTGTCATAAAAAAGGGACCAGGCTTGGGGTAACAGCTCCTATTGGTGTCCATTGTAGGACATTACCTTCTCCTTACATTTGTTCACTTACTGGGTTTTTGGCTTAAAAGGCTCGTCCCACCCCCCATATCGTCTGGAATTCACTCAGGTGAATGACAGGTGCCCTCAGTTCCTCCTGGGATACAAGACATGGAATCCTTCATAGTGAGGAGGAGGGGGGCAGGACTAGCGGCACCTACACCCAGAATAGCTGGCAGCTGTCACAGGCAGCATAGCAGTGCCAGACCTATGCAGCGGCTGCAGAGAGGAGGATCCCAACAGCTCAAAGATGGATCCGCTAGCTAGGTGGGTATCCTTACTGTGCAGAAGACATTAAAAAGTAAGCGGGGGGGAAAAAATAATAAGGGGAGGGGGGGCCTGAAGTTCCTTTTTAAAATGATACTAAAGTCAATTTGGAAAAAAAACAAAAAAAAAAAACGTCATCCTTCCATGCTCTGTGTAAGTCTAGGTTCACACCTATGCATTTTCCATTGTGTTTTGCAGAAACGCACGGCAGTCCATTTAACATGGGACAGGTTCACATCTCCGCGTTTTTACACGATGCGTTTTTTGGAAAGGGTCAGGAACTTTTTTTTTTTTTTTTAAAACGCAAAATGTTGTGTTTTTCGTTCAATAGACTTCAATAGAGATGCTACAGAAATGCATATAGTGCATTTTGGTTGCATTTTGCATTGTAATCTGCCCAGCAAAAAAATGCTAAAAACGCATCAAAAAACACATGAGCAAAAATGCAAAACGCACTGAAGAAACAGATCAAACGCAAACTGCTTTAGATGTGAACCTAGCCTAAGGGTTCTGCACAAAGCAGTCCTGATCCTCCTCTTTTTAGGTTCCCCACCGGCTCTCCAGCCGCTCCCCCCTGCCAAGTGCCCCCCATAGCAAGATGCTTGCTCTGTGGGGCACTCGTGTACTCTCAAGCCAGCTGTGTGTGTTCACTGACACACAAAAAGCAGCTCAGCTCAGCCCAGCCCCCCCAAGAGACACATTGCTGGACTGAGATGGGGCCCAGGAAAGTATAAGGGGAGGAGGGGGGTGAAGCTGCATGCAGAGGGTTTTTTACATTAATGCATAGAATGCATGAAGGTAGAAAAAAACTTCTGCCTTTAGAACCACTTTAAGCCAGAGGTGAACTCAATATGAAATTCAGAAGCCCAGTCTGTCCAATCCAAAGCCAGCACGTTTTTCTTTTAGAGTAAGCTCCATTGACAACTAGAAAAATCCCCCAAGAGCGGCTTCTGAGCAGCAGCTTTTCAGCAGTGCCTATTCACATGCATGTTTTTTCCCCTAAAGTGGTTTTCATGGAAATCAATGAAAACTCATTAAAATACATGTCAATGCACAATGACGCACATTAGCATGCATTGTTGTGCGTTAACGGGTGCTCCCATCCACTTTCTATTAAATGTATTTTATGTGCTTCGATGATGTTGCCTTGTCTTACGTTTTGATGCATTTCTTTGAATTATATTGGAAAAAACATCAAGCAAAAACACAACCATGTGAGCCAACCTAACCCATAGAAGGTTGCCTTGGCAGGGACACAAGGAAGTTGCATGTAAGAGTGCTGAAGAACAAAACATGGAGGGGAAATATCCCTAAATGGAGTCATTGCTAATGCACAACAGAAACCAGTGCTGTCGCTGTGAAAATTGCAATGGCTTGCTTGAAACAGATAAATGAATAGTTATAATCCCAG